ACCAAGGGGTGTCGGACGAGGGGGAGGAGTAGGGGAAGGAGAAGCTATACAAAGGGTACAATGGCAGAGGGGGATGAGAAAGCATGGGCAGGGGACACGCTGCCCTATACATACATACAAGCGCCGTGGCTGTGCCCACTGGAGTCACCACGTCAACGTTCATTCTTGTGAGCAATGCATGTGTAGTGACTCGAACGAAGGCGGGAAGGTTCTCAGTCATAGCCGAATGCCCGCCTCATGGGTCAGTGAGAGTGCTCGTGATCGGAGCAGTTCATGACATTGATACATCGATATGTCGCAAAGATCAGAATTTCTAAGAAAGAACTCCGGGTGTGCGGATGAGGTTTCCAAGGCAAGTTTTGGCGGAGAAAGAAACGGGTCGTGAATGCCAAAGACTTGAAGTCATCGCGTGGGGTAAGATCTACGAAGTGTTGATTGAAAAATGAGAACAAATGATACGATGGTGAGATGGTGGCATTGACCACTATGAGAACTCAAACTTGCCTAATGGAGAGTTCCGACAGAATGTTGGCGTTCCTTGTATGATTCATAAGTGCTGGCTTGCCATGAGAAAGGGTTGGGAATGCCAAAGTTGATAATGATGCATCTTGAAGTCCGCTTAAAATGTTCTCATGACTGATGTCAAACGAGTACTAGATGGATGTGCATAATGCTGAAAGCTATAGTATGTGCATTATTCAATATTGCTCAATGTTCAGATGGTATTCCACCCACTGCTTGTCACTTGGTCTGCAAACTGAAAGACAGTCTTTGACATAGATTCGGTCAGAGTAAACCTTACATAAGGTGATCAGTCTCTCAGGAGTCGCACATAGTTGGCACATTGGTAACATTCCTGTTCATACAGTTGAGGTTAAAATGAGTGAATATTGATGCATCACAAACCCACTAAGTACTTTCGAGGAATCATTCTAACCGGACGGTGGCACCTGGCCTTCCACATGCGAAACAAGTCTCTCGAGTGCAGTAGCGATGCGGGAGAGGTTAAAATCAATCGAAGTCAACCGTTGAGCGAGGTCTCCAGGAACCTGAGGTTGAGCTGAAGGTGAGGTAGGAGAGACAGGAGAAATGATTGGTTTGGGAGGAACGACCGGCTTGAAATCGTCGAAGGCATCATCCGTAACGATCTGTTGCACTGGATACGGTTCCAGTTGGGCCAGCTTGACGAATTCCGTAGCATAGCTGATTGGACGCTGCTTGTCCACACTCTCTCCGTACGGGGGACACAACACGTATCCAAGGCACCCAAGTCTTTTCTTCTCCACCAACTTGCCCTCTTTCACCATGATTTTGAAGGCATAAACTCGGCGGCAAGAGAAGTCGATGAGCGCCCATGCAGCCCACTCCCACGTCCCATAATCCTTCTCCTGCCCAATCTCTAGATCAACCTCCGTCTTCCCAGTTTTCAGCGCCCGATACACAATTTTCTCAAGGCGCTTCGTCTCAATCTCATTTCCAGCAATCTTCACCACGCCAGTCCCACCAGCGTCACATTTCTCCACTCTGATACAATTGCGCTGCAGGAGAACTGGGTCATCAAAGAAGAACTCTCCGATATCATTGGCGCCAGATTTGTTGAAAGGGTATGGCTTGAAGACATATTCGAGCACAAGGGAACACTCCTCGCCTTCGATGTCTTCGAGAGTGATTTTGATCCGGATCGGCCTATGGCGTGCAACAATAGCGCGGTTCCACCATTTGATGTCAAGCTTCACATCGTCCTCTGACCTCGGCACGGCCGCTTCAAATTTCAAAGACCATGACTGGCGTGGCTCTATAGTAATAGGCAGCTCTGCACGATCTGTGAGTTTGAGGGCCTCACAAGGGTTGTAAGTGGGATCCCCAACTAAGCGATAGGAAGCAGAGGCAGAGGCGATAGTGATGGGGTTGTTCGAAGCCGCAGCGTTGTTATTGAACACGGACACGACGCCCTGAAAGTAATCCACCTTCGAGCTCGCTAGTTCTGGATTGGCTTTCAATGGTGGGTCCGACATCGTTTTGAGAATTACGCGGAGAGCCGGAGACGTTTTGGTCTTGAAGTTGGTACGGGGAGGGCGAATCTGGATGTCGCTGATCTCTGGTCCTGCTCGGATGGTAGCAGGGAGAATGTAGGGTGAGGCGGGTATGTACGATCGCATCCCTCCTTCGGAAAGAGTCATTATGTCGCCTGACTTCGTTGCCTTGGCCATGTCAATGGGACAAACGCGGACATATGGGTTCGTCGATGTAGCAGACTTGGCTGTGAGCCTGACACCCGTGATCTTACCGGAAACAGATAGGATCCATTCGGCCATGGCGAACTCACTCTCGCTGGTTGAGGTTCGAAAGATGAGAGTCCGCCGACTAAGACGAACAGATCTTGTGATCGTTTCCATCTCCTTCGCAGTGAACGTGTTGAAGTAGTATGGTTCGGTGTACCAGATTGTACCAACGCTAATAAGGATGGTTGCTTCATCCAGGCGTTCACCACGAGATACCCAGCGCAGAAGCTGGCCAACAGATGCCTTCTTCACTCCGTCATCCTCAAGGTTGGTGTCCTCAACAGATGCCCATTCGTCAACAGTGTCAACGTATCCTGTGATAGCTCTAGCACGCGGGAAGAATGCACCATAAGGATAATCACAATGATGCTTTGCACGATGGGGTTGAAATTGACATGGGTGGCCCGTACCACAGCAAGGATAGCTTTGCCCCCATGAATCATATTCCCCGCGATGGAAAGAGCAAGACTTGAGTCCGTTGGTGGCATTAGTGAACTCCTTGTCACATTGCACACAGTGGAAACGCTGCTCAGACTCAGCGGCATTTAGCTCTGCAACCAACCCCTTGAAACCATCAAGAACGGCGGAGTTAACGTTATCTTTCAAAATGACTTCCAGACGGGCCTGATTTTGCTGGATAGTGTCTGTGAGGTTGGCGTTCAGCTGGTCCATCACGGTATCGTCCATGACGAGGTGCTGCTGCTGTGCGAACTCTTTGACGAGCTCCCTATCGTGCTGTATTGCCTCAAGACTCCCATGTTCGGCGACGAACGTCTCCGCCGCCTTATCATCGTCGTCAATCGGGATGTCGCGAGTAAGGATTTCGATTTTGCTCGATTGATGAATTTGAAGGCTGAGCATCAGATCCTGGCAGCAAGTGTTGACACTTTGAGCGGTCGTGGTAAACTTGTCCCTATTCGTGATGCTGAGTCGGCGGGCAACGGTGCTCTGCCTTCGGTATGAAGTTATGAGCGCTGCCGCTTGTTTGAGCGATTCAATCATGCGGTCGATGACTTGCCGTGTGGCGGGCATGACTTCCATCGTCCTCAGAAGAGGGATGTGGCTTAGCATGAACGTGATTCGTTCGAGGAGATCGTTACACTTGGCATCGACATCTTGAGCTCTCTGCTCGATGTCAATGATGACTTTTAAAAGGACAAAAGCGGGGCTGATGAATGGCAATGCCTTGCCGACATCGGAAAGCTGGGATAAGACTTGGAGGGCATTGTCCAAGAAGGGGTTGTTTAGAATG